CAAGACATCTAAGAACAGCCTTTTATTTTCTCTCTTACTCTGGTATTTGCACTAATTGCAGCAAACTTTCAGATTACAAAGTACCGAAGAAAAATTCTGAGCCCAAGAGCAAGGCTTGGTTGATTCCTCAAGAGCCAGCAGTCAGTCTGACAACTTTGCAGAGGGCATGTAAAATTTGCCTGGAGAAGGCACCAGTTTGTAGACACAACAGCCAAAAAGGTATTAGCAAGCATGAGATTGATTTATTATAAAATCACTTACCCAAGGTCACTATGTGACTGCAGGATGCTCAAGAGCATTTATGGCTGCAGGAAGTGACTCCATGGTCCACATGAACACAGGAGCTGGGAGGGAGTCACTGGAGCATCACTGAGACTGCAGTTACCTCCCTCCTTCAGCATATCCTGGCTCAGAGCACTTCCAGGTCTCCAAAATTGCAGTACCAGTATGGAGGCCACCCAGGAAAAGCTTCCTTCACATAAACCCTGAGAGCAGATCAATAGTGCCAGGCAGTCTTTAAATACATTTAAATATCACACCTTTCAGGAAAAATGTGGCCAAATGGTTCTTTAACTTTGCATTACATCTGAAGTCAGTGAGGCCAAACATTTGTGACAGAGTTCAGCAATACAATAGTGCAGCACAATATGGCACATCAATTAAATATTGGCACGTTCTCACCCAAAGGTTATCATCATCTCATCTCACAGACAGGAACACAGACAGGAAGAGGCCAGAGATGACACAGAGAGTTAATTCTTGGCAAACAGGCCCTCGGTGCCTGCCACCACAGAGGGCACAGCTGTGGTTTTTCACTATGTGCCATAACCAACAACCATCACCACAACCCCTCACAGCCAGGGCTCCTGCTCCTGGGCTGCATCTCTGCAGTTATGGCACAGCACCCTTTACAGTGCTGCTTTCTCTTTCCAGTTCTTAGCCAAATAACTCCTGTTTGTTTTACAGCCAGCAGCCCTTGCAGAGCTGCACACACTCAAGCAGGATGCACAGGATGTGAGGAGGGGGAGGATGAGGATGAGGATGAGGATGAGAGCAGCAGGCACAGAACACTTTGCAGTGCTGGCACCTGTGGCTGCAGCCCAGCCTGCCCCTCCCTGTGGATCCTCTGGAACATGCTGCCTTCTCACAGGGCCAGGGAGCTGCAGCACATTGGGCTGGAAGCCAAATCAGTTCCCAAGGGCTCATTCACAACAGCTGAAGGATCTTGTTTTGAAAAGGATGTTCAGGATTAAAAAACGCGGCTCTTTCAAGAGACACTGGAGCATTCCAGAATTTGTTTTCAAGTTTTCCTTGTGGGTTTATTTTTTCCCCCCTCTTTGCTCATTTGTTTTGTCTCTCAGGGTAGAATTGAGAGCCTAAGCTCAGAAATTCACTGTGAGCTTCTGCTCTGTTCAAATAAAATTCAGCTATTGTGCCCAAGAAAAAGGGGAGCAGTACTAAGCTGGCTTAATTTACATTTGGGTATTGACAATGCTGTTAAGGTATAATCATAATGCTGAACAAGCCAGCACATTGTATTGTTTGGCACTTGCTCTCAGACTTTATGCCATGGTGACAATTGAAAATATTTTATTATTTTTGTGGGTGGTAAAGAAAAACCTTTCCTGTTTCACTACTTAGAATTTTGGTGGCTGTTTTTTACTTTGTCCATTTATCTCTCATGAAACCCAAGGAGAGCTCTTGCTCTCCATTCATTCTTCCAACACTGAAGTCTGGAGTTCCTTTGAAATTTACTTTGGCATCTACTTCCTCAAGCAAGCACCTTAAAAAAAATTAAAGCTGAAAGTGGTACCCCACTCCCGACTCAAGACGTAAGGTTAGATACTGAATTCTAGGAACAAAGATTTAGTGAAAAAACAAGACACTAAAGTTACAACAGAGCCTACAAAATCTAGGTTAGCTTTCATACTAGCAATTCAATTAGTTGAGTTATAGACATTCAGTTACACAGCTCTTCTATTCAAGTCATTCCTTACTGCTGACAGCAGTTGAGGGAGGAACAATAATTTCAGGGAATACATGGGAAATAACAAATATTCCCTAAGTCACTGGCACTCAAACAGGTCTAAAATTGTGACTGGGCATTTACAATTATTCAAAAGATTGGTAGGAAGACCAACTCCACACCATCTTAATAATTCTAGGCTTTAAAAACAAAAAAAAAACCATCCCCCCAACATATAATACTTTGCCCTACTATAATTAAGGCACTGGATTGAGAGAAGGAAAAATCTGTGTTCAATTTCTGGTTCTGCTATCAATTTCCCATATCATCATGGGCAAATCACTTAGGATTGAGAGCTCCCACGCACATGGCCGTGTGTCAGGTGAGCCACACTGTTTGCACACATTTAAGACATGACAAATGCAAGGTCATGACACCTAATTTAACTGAGTGGGGAATGAATTCACATCAAATTGCTTTACCTTGCATTTGTTCTGGATTGACATTTTTAAATTCAGGCAACAAAAGCCTGAGAAGTTTGTGCCCTCCCATTTAAGACAACACTTAAGCATGCATGCAAGTGGTTTTTAGTCCTTTATCTTTCACTCATTCTCTTATAAGCATCTATTCCTTTCTTGTCTGTCTTTAATATTTAGATTATGAATGGCTGAAGATGTTTTCATCATACCTAATACACAAGGCTTGAGCCTCAGATGAGAGTTATGGGACTCCTATAATACAAACAAATACCACAAGTCTGATGATTTAAATTTGCATGAACTGAACTTTCATTCCTGACATCACCAACTCAAACATTGGCTTGCAGTCCCTGCAAAGGGGAAAGCAAGGAAGGGAGGGTGGCCCAAATCAGAACTATCATCTACACAGCAATTAAAAATCAAATGTAATGGCAACAAGGCATGTTACATACTTCCCTTTGAACTCTGGACTTGTGAGGCTGAGTTCTCTGTTTGGATCTGTCTCGTGTTCTATAAGAAACAGGCATTTCCCAAAGTACAGAATAGAGAGAATTTGCATTAGATTAAATGACTGTCCAGAGTGCAACAGTATGCCCCCAAAGAAGCAAAAAGCACTGAAAACACAGCACAGCTAAAGATCTGCCCAATTTCCTGCTGGCACTGGCCTGCAGCAGCCTCCTGTGTTGGTACAAATCTCTCCCATTTACACCAGGATGATCTAGAACTGTCATTTCAGGATTGTTAACCTCCTGCCTAATTGTTTCCCTGTCCACTAGACTGAGAAGTAAGTAGTTTTCATTCAATGTATTCATGACAACTTAGTAAGCATTTTCTTTGACAAGCAGAATACACAGTGTTTTTGAAGGCTTGGTTTTCAGATAAAGGCTTTTGTTTCACCAGGTCAAATTCTGTAGCATTCAAAATTAAATTCTGATAGATACAGCCAAAATTCAACCCACTTGTAACACTAAAGTCAGGGGAAATAAATGTAGGATGAAAGTGTTCTGTACTCTGGACTTGCTTTTGGAGTTGAATTTTATGATTAATGCACCTTTGAGTGCCTGTAGGAACACTGGGGACAGAAACTTCTGTCTCTCAGCATACAGCCTCAGTTCAACAGAAATTTCCCTTGTGGATTCATTATGAGCTATTAGTAAATCAGTGACTGCAGCTGCATTTGCTAATCCCAACAAACTGTTGTGCTGACTGGAGCTGACTGGAAAGCCTCTCTCCTGATTTGCTCAGGAGCTTACAAGGTTGTCTCAGCACTAGATTTGTAAGGTATTTTACAATGTTTTGTCACTTGTCTAAGATTTTCTGGTTTTACCTCTCTACTAATCTTACCAGTACAAGAGCAATTCCATGAAGCTTTAGTGGTGGGGTTTGTTTGTTTCACTGGTTTTTCCTTTTAAATGAGGCTCATACCTATTGCAGGATTCTGGGAGGAGATGACTGGAGAAGAACATGTCCTTCAGTCTCCCAACACAGATTAATAGCAAAACATCAAGTCCACTGCAACATGCTCTCAATTTAGAAAGTGCTGGTGCTATAAAGAGAAAGCCATTGATTATTCATCCTTGATTTATAATAGTGGAGAGCAAGTACAAAAAGTAACTTCTTACAAGAGGGAATCTGGGTCTTCTAACTCTGTAGAATTTAGAATGTAATTCCAAAATTCATGTACTTACAAAGGCCTCTCTAATTCTAACATAAAAACAAATTGGGAGTGTCAGTGAAGCACCAGCTGCAGGGTTTGGGTTAGAAGCACCTGGGCAATGCAGGCAGTGGCACAAGAACACTTTGTGCACGTTTACACACACAGATCTCCTGCAGCAAACCAGAACCTGGCCCAGGAGGGTCTGTCCTGCTCCAGCACTGCACTAATGATGGAGGCAGACATTGCTTCATGGGATGCACGTTTGGGGCAGGACATGGGCTCTCAGAATGGCCTTTTTAGAAACAATCAATACACAAAGCAGTTTACCAAATCACTACTTAAACCTTTGCTCAATAACTCTCAACAACTGTGATGTAGAGAAGATTCTTCACAGATATGAAAATAAGGAATAAATTCAGGAAACTGTTCTATGTGACACTGAGCATCAACAGCAGAACCATAATTAAAACTCAGAGTATTCCTAACTCTAACCCTGTGTTAAACAACATTTATACCTGGGTTTGGTACATAAAACCATGACTAGTTACATGGAAGGAAAGGGAGGGTCAAGAAAGGACATTATTTCTGCACAAGTGGTATTTTCAGATTAAATGGAATGTCCAACAGCCTGGAGTGCAGTTTCTTTGCATTTTGTAGTCAATTCTTTTTCAAAGAGATGCTGTTTGCAATTCCCACCTCATTTGGAAGAGAAAGGAGTAACAGTGGCTTTTGCAAACCTGACTAGAGACAGATCAGGAGAGCACAACTGGCCAAAAAGCCCAGCTCACTGAGAACACAGCACAGTGCAGAGTGGGATTCACATTTCATTACTGGCTCTCATTTGCACACCTTTCCGACAGGTGGCCAAACTGCTCAAAAACCAGACAAAACGAGGGGATGCAAAGTAACATACTAACTTCTTTAATAGAGTCCAATCCAATTAAACCAAAATCACTGTGTGAACCCCTGGGTTTATTCACACTAAACAAGTCAGTGGTACATAGTGTTAACCCGAGAGCTGATCGTGTTCATCCCCTAGGTCCCCACATGAAAAATGAGCACCAGTCAACCAGACTGTAATGGTATTTTTCCTTCCTTTTTTTTTTTTTTCTTTTTTTTTATTTTAATAAAAACTATTTCTTTCATAGACTTAAAACAACCAACTAGCCAAGTTATTAATTATAGTACATCTAAAAAAAAAAAAATCTCATACTAACCCTAATGTGACTGCTGCTTTACGAGTGCTCTGTGTACCGCCTTAGACTGGCTTTTCAGTAGCAATTCACTACAACAGGTCCTAAAATAATAATAATAATAAAGAATTAAAAACCTGACAGCAAGTTTAATGGTCAAAAGTAATAAAAACAACCTGTTCTGAAAGGTGATTTTTCTCAGCAGTTCAGTCCTGCTGCAGCACTCACAGCCTCACAAAGGCAGAAGGGGATCAAATTCTCTCACCTTCTTTAAATGTTTCTGGTTTTAAAAGGACAACTGCCTTGTAACCTGCTAGGAACCATGGGGCATTTTACTTAATGTTATATTCAATAATGGGTCTGTTTTTTAAACTTACTGTTTTTCTGGGGGAGTTTAGGGAGGGCAGGGGAATAGAGGGAGAACAAAACCACAGCTCCCTGTAGCTGCAGCTCCCCGGGTGCCTCGGTCACTGGGACTGTCTCACCTCAGACCAGTGCTGGTAACTCTTGATTACTCTCAAAGAACACAAGGAAAACACCACCAGCAGCCTCTAAAGCTCCATTTGTTTTGGGTCATATCTCCTATTCAAGGCCACCATCTTCTGTAATTCATCAGCTAAAGAAGCATTTTCTCCCTCTCCCCAGTGAAGGTTTAAAGGTGGGGTAGGGCATGAGACAAAGAAGGAAGCTAAAATGAATAAAAAATTCTCAGCTATAGAACCAAATTTCATTATTTCCTCTTTCATTCACAGCATCTTATCATCAGAGCCAGACTGCTGCTTTGCTTTAAGATCCAACTGATCTCATTTCCCCTCTGGCCCCATTGGTTGCTGGTCGACCTCTGGATCCACAAGGGATGATGCAAATGCCGACTGGACGATCTGAAACCCAAAGGACTCCAGAAGAGACATGTTCTGTTGGGGGGAGAAGGGGGATCCCAGAGCAGGACCCAGGTCCCCCAGAGGGCCACCAAGGGCCCTGACGTGCACTTTCTGTATGTGTTTGTTCAGATAAGACTTGGATCTGAAAAAGCTGCCGCATTCGGGGCACGGGTACTTCTTCTCTCCTTCCATCTCCATTTTGTTTTTGCTGACTGCCAGGTCACACGAGAAGGACCCATTGGTGCTCTGCTTCTCAGGAGTCTTGAGGTCACTGGTGTCAGAGAGGTCTCCATATGAATCAGAACTCTCAATCGGGTCCGAATGTGAACATTTCTGGCCTTCTACGGGAAAAAGAAGAGAGAGAAGTTCTCAGAATCTTGGCTCCCAAAGGAAGATATTTAACATGCATTAAAATGAATCAGATTGGTTACCACCTGATCACATGAATGCCTGTCACAACAGAATGATACACACTTAACATCCAATCCCTCACATCCCAGAGCCCTTGAGCACAGGTCCCCTTTCCAAACCACCAGGCTGCTATCAGAGCAACAGCTGGGCTTTCATCAGGGATTTGTCACGGTATGAATGCAACCATAATGCCTCTCTGGTTCATACAACACTTCTTGAATCCCAAGGATGTCTCACAATGTTTACACCTCAGACACTACAAAAGGATGGTCCTAATGATGAGTTTTCAACTGTGTAATTCACTTGCACACTCCTGAAATGCTGTTGATACTTTGGGGGAGAGCCTAGAAACTTCATGAAGTACAACAGGCTGAGCAAGATGTGAAGAAACCTGGAAACATTCAGCAAAACAGCAAGGAGCTACTGCAATTTAAGAAGTGCAATTCCATTTAGTCTCAAGAAACTCTTTTTCACAAGTGCAACACTGTTAGAAGTTAACTTCACAACCTAAAATTGTTCTATCTTTAAACACTGCAGTGTGAAACAGCAGAGAGGTTAGGGACATTATTTAAGTTATTTGAATATATTTCCTGGCAAAGCCATTGGCATGTTTGGAGTGTTCCCCATTCTCCTCTGGCATTATGTCAGGGAAGTTTGTCCACACTTTTTTGCTCAGTGCATGTGAATGAGCGTGAGAAACCCAGACACTAAAGGAGTCTCTGAATACAAACAGGCTGTACCTACCATTAACTCTGAGAGACCAAAGAACCACTTGGCACAACCCAAAAGACAGATTTGCTCTGGACTCAGCATTACAAACCTAACAGGATATGCATGAAATCAATACACCACTGAGCTGGAATAAATCTCTTGTTAAGTCAGCACACCACCCAAAACTAAAGGGCTTCTGTAGTAACTCTATCAAGACTTCAACAGAAAAATTACACAACTCAAGCTTTCTGCTGGCACAGTGTTTGTTCAACCCAGCCCTCTGTGTTCTCCTGGGCAAGAAAAAACCAGAACAACCATGGCTTTGAAGAATTTCCTGATGTTTCACTTTCACCAGGAATACTGACAGCTCAAACCAAGAAGCACAAAGCTGTTCTACACAGGCAAACACACTGCTTTCCTTATTCAGAAGTTAAGCAGTGCTTAACTCGGCTATGCTTACAATAACAACTTTTTCTCCCCGCCCCAGTTAAATGAATGTCAAAACAAGAAAGCACTGGTACTATTATCACCCTTCACCTCTCCTCCCCAACGCTGCATTTCCAAGTGTAAGTTTAGCTACAGACAGCTGGCTGCATGTACAGTATGGCTCCTAGCAAAACCACAAACGGGCTCTGACTGACGCAAGATTCAAGGGGAGTGGGACTAACAAATTTGCCCTCAGGCAAAATTCAGATGCTGACTGCTCCAAGGAAGAGGGTCAAGATGAACTAACATGGCTTTTTCAATCTTCCAAACTGAAGAAGCTGCCAAAGCTTCACATACTCTTCTGTGCCCGTTTCCTTCCCCTAGACTTGTTAACTCGGCTCTCCAGTGACAGCATTACACCCTACGTGGTGCTGTGGAATTTCTCTGCATCTCCCTAAGCTCCTCTCCAGTATTTTCCCTCCCGTTTCTCGTGCCCAGCCCGACACCCACACCACAAAGCCCTGCCCAGAGCAGCAAGGTGCAGAGCAGGAGTCTCTTGCCTTTGATGCCATAGGTCCTGACGCAGTGGAACGCTGCTCCCCCATTCGGGATGGACTCCTGGTGCCTGGAGACCTGGGGAAGGGGAACACCGTGGTGGGTTTTAACATGGACCTTTAAGTAGGAGGCAGAGGAGAAACCTAAACAAGATAAAAGGAGATGAGATCCTGCCACCAGCAAAGACACACATCTGCCTTCCCTGTTCCTTTAATCTTTCTCTTGCTCCTGCTCCCTGTTTTAAAGCTGCTGTTCCACCAGTTCCCTGAGACATGCTCACGTAGGAGTCCTGTCATCCTCAGGCAGAAATGCAATGCACACTTTTCATCAGACTGAGTTTGCTTTTTGTTAGTCACAAAGAGAGAGCAGCCTCCTTAAAAACAAATTCTGCGTAAGCAAACCTAGCAGGTGACATGAAATTTCTGGAAAAAAGGCAGAAGAGACATCATACAAAAAGGCACCCACGTCTCTTCACCATTTTTCTGCTGGTTTATTTTTTTTAATTAAAAATATTTTTGTCATGTGATAATACATTGGAAGATAGTTCCAATTAGTAGATTTTGTGCTCTTAAGCTCTGAAGGAATGCTATCTATTGAGAAACCTTGTTGGTTTAGTGTGCTTTTCCCCTTAGGTTTCTATAGCACTTACAGTGACTTCTAGAAGGCAGAAAGCTGAAACTATTGACTTTTTAAGGTATACACTTTTGCTCAACAGTAATTCTTGAAAAATATTTCCTGCAGTCAGCTCACCCTGAGTTTAAAAAAATATACTAGAACTCATATTTTGTCTACAGTTAACAAAAAGTACTAAAAATAAATTTCAGTATTTTTATCAGCTCTGATCTGTAAGCACCAAACACTGAAAATAAAAACATATATATCAAACAATTGATTTCTGAACAAAGCAGGTTTTTACATTTGTGTGTGTGCTTTTTAAAATGTTTCTTTAAGTCTCATGTAATTTTTTTCTTTAATGCAATGAATTATCTCACATATACTTTGAAAGTTTTTAAATTTAACCTGAATAAGATTTGCAGTCACTGCTAGCACATTGGACCATATATGAGGCAGAGTTTTAAAGACTTCCTACAGAGGTAAAGCTGCCACCACCAGCAGCTTAACTTTCTGTTATATTTGAACAGAGTATTATGGCACTTTCTTGTTAGAAATATTTCCCACTAACAACTAAAGAGCACAGCACAAGGTGCACCAGTGCAGACCCAGAGTTGCAGGTTCCCTTTCTGGAGAGAGAAAACCCAAGCCCTAGATTTTTTTAAACCAATATAGCATTTGCAGCACAAGTCCTTGCAAGAGAACTTTCATAACAATAATTTCCTTAAAATATGAGTAGATCTTCTACCATAAAGCCATTTTTATAATGATATAACTGCATCTACATTTGATGATATATAGTAATATATTAGGAATGCTGCAAAGCAAGTACTACACACCTCTCTGGGGTGGATTTTCTGACTGCAGCTGTTAGTTTCAGGTGCTGAATTTAATAATGAATGTGCCCTGTGCTTAGCACACAGAATATCCCTCTACCCTGACTTTTATCCAGAGGTTATTAAGAATTATGTATACAAGTTCTGCAAAGAACTCCACAGCAAGCTGCTGAAGGGAAAAGGGGCAGGCTGCTGAGAATGAACCAGAGGTAGTTCCTGTGCACCCCTGAGCTGAAGATAAAAGTACAGAAGGGAGATACATCACAACTGATGAAACCAAGAACATGTGACTCCCTAAATACAATGGAGCAGAATCACCGAGGCCAAGTGATGCAGGGAATTCATGTAAGGATAATATCCTCTGAAATAATGCAAGACCTACCCTCAGACACAAAATGCTGCATTGAAAATCTCACTGGGCAGCAAGAGAATATATTCCTACAAATACCAAAAATCCACTGCAGAGCTGAAAGAACCAGGCTTTGACTAGCAGAGCAAAGGGCACAGTGTGCAGATAGAGTGGTGACACTTCCACTGAGAGGTGCTTTCCTTATTTCACACATGCATGCTGAGATCAACCTCTCATGCAGCAATGCATTAAAATCTCCCTGCCAGCCATTAAAAAAGGACTGCATGCAGCTATTCAGTGCTTTTCTACACCAAACTGACACAGGAAAATCTGAACTTGTAATCTCTGCACAGAGGGGTTTTTCTGAACTCTGCAGTTCTATTTGTAGAGTTCATTGTTTTATAGAATGGAAACTGCTGCAGAGTGTGTAAGCTCCCCTTTATGCACTTGGCAGATGAACATGTGAGTCATCAACTTCCATCAAAACCCTAAGAATGCAAAATGCTCCATGGGAAACTGGTTAAAGGGAGACTTTGCTGGGGTTGTTTTCATCCTCATTTTCTCCTGAAGCACTTAGGACTGGCCTTTTTATCTCCACCAGACTTTAATGATGAATGCCTGTCCTAGGAAGATGGGGGTTTATACACCATCATCCTTCACTCTTAAAATCTCTTTCAGAACAAAGGCAGAGGATAAAGTGGCAGTATTTTTCAGAGCAGGAATGTATTTATTGCTTTACTCATACACATCTCTCCACTTTGCAAGACAGATTATTTCTTCATACCAGAAGAACCAATATTAAAAATTGGTTCCTCATGTATAGAGAGAAAATTATCTCCTTTATATAAATGGGACCTGTCCCTTGATCTCTTAGATAAGGTCTATAAGGAGATAAACTATAGAAATAATTGCAGGATGCTCCTTGTTCAAAAATAAAAATTGTCATTTGGATTTAGCTGGAACATGAGGAAAATGTTTTTTACTTTATTTACTGGACTCTGTCCCCCATGAATGTACAAGAACTCAGCGTGAAAAAATAAATTCTCATTTGTGATTGGAATATTCACCCTTTTCCTAACTACTTTGATTCTGTGAAACAAACAAAGTCTATGTGTTCAAAACAACCCCCAAGTTCTGAGTTGCAGCTGTCATTACTAAGTACCAAAGTCATCAATCTCTGGAATACTTTGAAAAAGCCCAACCAAGCAAATAAAGTTCCTAAGGATGGTATAAGATTGTGTAAGAACACAACAGGAGCACGTGTTCTTTATTTAAACTGATTAAAGAGAATTTGTCTAAAAATGTGAGGCTTGAGGATTCATTTTTTAAGCACATTTTTGACAAATTCTTTAAAGAAAAAAAAACACAACAACCACAAAATGCCAAACAAAAAAGAAGGAGAAACAACCCCCAAAATCCCAGGAGGAAAAAAAAAACCCCAATGCAAAACCCCCCAAACCACTTCACTGTTTCCCTGATTAAACAAGATTTAATTGCTTCCATGAGTACTCCAAGCATAAAGACCTCAAGTAATGACACAACCTGGAAAAAACAACTCACAGCTGGTAGTTTTTTAAAATTACACCACAACATTGTAAGAGAAATAGGTGTGATAAACAAATGAGCCACCTGACATGGCAAACTATTGCCTATTCCTTTCTGCCAGCTACTGAGCTCCACCCCATCTCCTACAGCCATCAAACCTTTCAAACAACACCAGACACCTCACTGAGGCCCACAGCAAACCTTCAGTCCAGTGGGATAAACTCAGGGAGTCTGAGGCTGTCATTAACACCAGGAATGTCACCTTTCCACCCACTTTTTGTTTTTTTTTTAAAGTGGCCAACATCCAAAATTCTCTCCACAAGCAGCTTGAGCTTGCAGAGCATTCTTGCTTGACAATTACTATATCCAGAGGCTGACAATTACTATATTCAGAACCAGCTAAGTTTCAATTAAAAAATACAGCAGCACATTAGCCACGGGAAGAATAAACAAAATGTGTCTGCACAAGCAGCTGAGCCATGGCACAGCTGTGATCAGGTTACTGTGTGGGCCTTCCAACTGCACCAGTGCCTATCAAACAGGTATTTGTAATCCAGAAATTTCCCATTACACTTCATCTTGCCAGGCTCTACAGTTTAGAAAAGAATTATTTAAAACAATGAACATTATACTTTGATTCTAGAACACCTGGGATTAAAAATTCTGCTGTCATTGATCATAAATCTATAACCAAAATTTACAGCATAAAGCAATGAGTTACAACACAGCTGTTTGATAAATCCAGTCTGTAGCTTACCCTTCCTATGAATTTTAACACTTCCTATGAAACTTAACATTATTCATTATTCATAATTACATTTTTTAAATCCTGATGCAAACTGAAATTCACAGCAGACAATTGTGACAATTCCCATAAAATACACAAACTGTAAGAAGAAAGTAGTTGCTTAAAGTTTGCTGTACAACAGGTTCCCTATCCTTCTACAGAAGTATATATTTTATTTCAATTCCCACTGTACATTTAGACTTGTAAAATGTGAATAAACCACTCAGTCATTTTATTGTTTGAATGCCGGGTCTGTCTTTGTCACTCTGGCTCCATTTCCAAAGAGCTGCAGTGACATCCAGTGGTAGTTCAGTTGAAATTCAAGACAATTCCTCCCAGCCCATCTGAGTTTCTGTCTGGCACTATGTTCAACGGGAGGGGAGCAGGACAGCACCTGGATCTCACACAACATCTTCCATGTTGTTGCCACAAAAAGAATCAGGATAAGCCTAAACTTCTGTTTTTCAGAAGCAAAGGAGGGCAAGCTGCATTTCACACCATCTACCTGGAGCTTCAAAACCTGAAGGTTTTCAACCCAGATGCCTTTTCCATTCCCACTGATAACATCATTTTCAGGATTTCCAGACTGTTTAACAAGGAAACACCTCCCTTGCAATTTAATGTCTCACTACTCATCAACTCCACAAGCTCCCTGTACAGTCTGCACATTAAACACAGGAGAGCTTTATTTTCTCAAAAGATTTCACCTCTCTTAAACTAGAAAAAAGAACATGTTAGGAAAAAAGATTCATCAGAAAAAACAAATCCCAAAACACAGCAGCAATCTCTTCTAACACCTACTGGCTATGGATACCTGTGTGAGCCAAAAAGGCATTTTGAAGTTGTGAATCAATCCCTCAAAAAAAAACCACCAGTAAGTCAAAAATATTTTTTCCAGCTTGCCTTACATCTCACAAAGCCTAAATTTCCAACTCTCTCCAACTGAAGATGGAAAAGCTTCACAAGCTTAGTCAGATGGTTTAGTTTTACATAGTGCTGCATGGAGCAGAGAGTTGGACTTGGTAATCTTTATGGGTCCCTTCTAACTGTGAAAAGCTGGATTTGTACAAATAAAGGTAAACCACATTTCCAGTGCTCTTTACAAAGCATGTTTTAGAAATGTACATTAGCACAAAGCAATTAAGAGGGAGAAGCAGCTTGACTCTGTTGCACCAGGAGGTTAAGTAATACTTAGTAACACAATGCAGATTTATGTTCAATGTATGATTTTCAACTTGATGTGTATTTCAAAGATACAAAAGCATTCTTCCAAACTGACTGCAAGGGCTCCATGTTGTGTATTTCAAAGACACAAAAACAGTCTTCCAAACTGACTGCAAGGGCTCCAGTCTAATCAGGTATAGAAAAAAAAAATAAGAAGATGTACGTTGAACAGCAGCAATGCAAGTAAGCATGGTTATTGTAGAGGGATCTGGCTATTGGCAAATAAAATTTGTTTCAGATTTCTTTGGGAGCCATGTGAAAAGGCCAGATCTGTGTTCCATCAGTTTCAGGGTTAAGGATTCAGCAGCAAAAGCAGAGTATGGACACAAAGAGGGTACAACCTCCTCCTGTTGCAGAGAGTCACGCAGCCTTTACAGCTCCCCTCGGGTGCTGGCCCATCCCAGTGCAATTAAAAACAGTTTCTTCATTACCTCGGTTACAGATAGTGCAGAAGTTGCTTGGTCCTTCACTATGCTTCTTCAGGTGATCTGCCATGTATGCTGCTCTCAGGTACTTCCCACACACCTGGCACGGCACTTTGTCCTCGTGGCACGCCAGGTGCGAGCGCAGCCGGTCCCGCGTGGCAAAGGAAGCATTGCAGGTCTGCAGGTGTAACACAACCATGTCAGCTCTGCTGACAGCACTGATATTGCTGAATAGATTTAGTATTCTTTAGAGTAAATACCTTAGGTACTGTGCATGATGATGCATAAGGCATTTTCCCCCAGATAAAAAATTCAGAACACCAACACGTTGCACAAGTTGTAATGTTACCACTCAAAAGAATTAAAGCAGCAAGAAAACAGCTCTGACACACTACAGACAGTAAAACTTACTCCAAGATAGACTTGTAAGGTTTTAGCTCCTTTCTGAGGATAAAGATATTAAAATTTTAAGTAATATTTAACAAAAGAAATAGCAGAAACCACTTTGCTGTGTTTACAATAAGTTCTGCCATTTTACTGAGCCATTACTATCACTTTAAACCACTCAAATGTCCTCTCTGTCATTTTCCTCAATTCTACTCTTTGATGACATAAATCTAACTTCAGCACACAGAATTCTTTTGGAGTGTGAAGACATACAAACAAAGGATCACAGAACTATCTGGGATGACAACATGATGAGAGACAGTGGAAGAGTCATCCTGGTATCCACAGCAGCAGTGCAGACAAACTGTAACAGTGAAGCCTCAAAACTGAGCAGATATCAAAATAACTGCACGACATTGTAATCTGGTTTAACTTACCACTGGCACTTAGTGCCACAAAACAAGCTTCATTTGGCATAAGGTAATTTTGATTCTATTTGCCCACTTTCCAGCTGAAATCTGCATGGTGAGTGAAGGCTCCCTGCGATTTTTCCAGCCCCAGCAATGGGCAGGCAGGCTGTGCCCACAGCCTGTTCCAGTGGCCTGCCAGGCCTGAAAGGCTTGCTGTGTCTCTAATGTGTGAGGGGAAATAAATCACCAGCAATATGCTGCACAAGGATTAGAGTTATAGCCTAAACCATTTCACAAGTGCAAGAGGAGAAACAAAAGCAAACACACATCAGAACAACCAGACCAAGCCAGAGCAGTGACATTCAAGAGTGTACAGTGTTTTGTTTACACCAACTTCATAGAAAATATCACAGTTTTAAGAGATATTACCAGACCCTCCAAAAAATAATATGAGGCTGCTCACTGTCTTGGGAACTGGGTATAAACTGTATTTTTAAGTATCAGTGTGTAATTAAACCACTGTTTCAACAGAGAAAAGACTTGTTAAAGTAACAATCTTAGTAAAATTCCAAAATTATAATTCAAGTAAGTGGAACTGATAATACAGAAGAGAACAATGTAATTACATAGAATTCAGTTAATCAAGAGCTTAATCCAAAAACCACTGAAGGCAGCTGAAAAGCACCTATCAGTTTCACCAGGCTTTACACTCATTCCATCCTGTGAGATGCTCAAGTGTGGAAAACTCCCATGGAGCTGAGGCTGCTCTGCAGCAAGCACAAGACTTTACACCCCAGAGGATCAGGACTTAATGAAATTGAAAGGGCAACAGTAAAATTATCTGGATTTCTGCAACATACACAGTTTAACTAGGCCCACCAGCCAAAGATTTATAAATTACAAGTATCGAGGTTTAAAAGGTAAATTCTTAAACATGAAAGATTTCTCTTCATTTGTGATCTCAGTACACAGCACTGAGCAAAACAGGTGCAGCTTTCACTTACTAAAGTGTTCTTGGAGGTAAGCACTCTCTTAAGGCAGGATGGCAGCACTGATGCCAATCAATCTGCTGGCTATCAGCTAAAGATTTATCACTACAGTATCAACAATGACAGCCAAGAGATCCATCATCAATAACTCTAAATGGAGCCACAGGCAGGTCCATACCCGAGCATTGGGAGTGCTTTAGCCAATGAGAAGCAGACCAGAGACAAATCACATAAATACAGCAATGCCAAAGTAAAACCAAATCTATCCCACAGTGAACTCAGCAAGTTGAAAGCTTGGGCAAAAGCAATATAAAAATTTATGTGTTTGATTTCTCACTGTTGCTGCTGAGTTGTGTAAAGCTCACCTTTGGATAAGCTATATAATAAATATATCTGCAACAAAGCTTAAAAACAATAATTAAGTCCAGTGGAAAAAGCAAGAACCAGTTTAGCTGAATCATAACAATGGGAGACAGGACTAGGGTTAAAGAAAAATCCCAAAGTTAATATTCAAATAGTTAATATTTATAAAAGGTATAGAGAAAAAAAAAGTTTTATTTTATGAAAGATGTGAAGTGCTAAATGAGTGCTAAGTATTTGTCATTAATTGTTAATCATAGAAGAAAACTCTCCAGTGCTTTCCTATCAAACATTGTACAGGTATATAAATAGATCAAAAAGAATATATAAAGTTTAAAAACATTGTTTAAGAAATACCTCTTGAAGTTTCAACTTTTCTATGGATGTGGATGTCTCTGAGCTTATTCCATGGTGGCTGCCATTTTCCTGCTAATAGGCAGGAAGTAAGAGAAATTAGGACAGGAAGAAACTCATTCTGCATTGAAATCAATGGGATACGCACTGGACTTGGGATGCCAATTAAGTTGTGCTTTACTTTAACCAGCATTTTTAATTTTATTTAATTTGCCTGATGAACAACCTGTCTTGTCTCTGAGAGGAGCAAACTTGTGTTTTCTCCCCTTGTTCTTTCATGTGCCCAGATTTTCAGATCACTGCTCCCAGACTGCAGCCTGACTTTCACACACTGACAGCTTCACCCCATCCCGTGGGGTCAGAAACTGAGCTGCCCCATTCTGGCCACCAACCAGACTCACTCCTTCTCCTGTAGCCAGAACTCAACTGCCAGACTGGGGAAAAAACTCTAAATTCACCAGTGCAACAATCCAGGGGAAAAGATCCAGAGTGCCATTTGCCCTGGATCTGATTTCTCAGCTGCTCTGGCTCTGGGGAGATGTTCCCTAACCTGAGCCCACATGAACAGCACTGGCAGAGCTGGAGGAAGGCTTTGGCATCAGAGGTGCTGCAAGTCAGGATACTGGTGAGAGATCTGGGAAGCACAGCTGTCATTTCAGGGGATGAGTGCAGGGTTACAAACTGAGCACTGAAAACTATTGCTGCTGCAGGGATGTTCAGCTTAAAATTGTCCTGTTTCTCATACTTTCATTCATTCTGAAGTTGGGTTGACACCTTCCCACTTTCTGGTACTCCAAAGGGTGCTGTGATGCCACACCAACAAAACATTATCACCAGTTTGCAAAGATACCTTAGAGCTCAGGTAAATGGCCAGTTTGTTTAAATCACAACAGAGCACAAATTTCAAAAATGCCATTGCAACAGAGGATTCTGGAGTGCTCTGCTGTTTATGGAGTAATTCTCTTTTCCAGTAAACATAAACAAAGCATGACAATAACAGGAATTTTCAACAGGAACTAAACAGACTCAAAAAGGATCCTCAATGCTGTTCAGGCTGCTCTCAGGGGGAGCTAATTTGCCAAACAAAATCAATGGAAAAAGAGAATGGAAAATGGGCAAACAACATGCCAATATGAAGCTATTTTCCTTCTTGGTGGCCAGATCCTATGTTAGATACATATAAAGGAACAGATGCATGACTGATTATGAGATAATCACAGGGAGGACATCATCAATTTATTCATCAGTTTTCATATTTGGAACAAGTTCTCAGTGACTGCATCCCCTCTGTGGTTTCTACAATGTACAGCAGATCTGGGGATATTCAAGAAGACTTTCTAAATCTGATAGGATATTGCAAAGCATTTTCTCCAAAGATACAACAGGTCATTAAATTTTCTGCACCTTAAGATTCACGAAAAATTAACTCTGCAGGACTAAGCAATGAAAAATCAAGAACAACCCAAGCCTGAAGGACAATCTCAACTCTGTGTTGGTGATTGTAACCTATAGCTGTACCTTTTAGCTGAAATGAGCAGTGCACAGTATTATGGCACTTTAGATAACACACAGGAAGAAAGACTGCTCTTGGAAACTGCTATCACAAAATACATGTGTGCAAGGAAATGGACTTGAGCTTGGCTGTGCCATCTTAGCTTCCATGTTTCTTTACTTCTGAGCTCTTAGTGTATCCTCTGATTCACACAGTTTGTATTTAATATTCTTAAATCAAGGTTAAACTATAAAAGAATTATCAGTCATCAGCTGGCAAAGGACAATTCTCAGCTATCTGTGTTATCTGTAAAAGTGTTCAGCCAATGTTCCTGTTGGGATGTAAACATTCATCATCAGTTCACTGTCCCCACACTGTGAATTCTTTTTAGGAGTGGAATTTTCTGGTTTGTATAAATCTGTAACCCATAAATCACCTCAAGACACTTGAGCCAATGTAAGGCTTTATGCAGTTAAATCAATGGGACAGCTCTATGGGCTGACTTTCAAATGAGCTGGGCTTTCACAGATCATATGGATGTCAACAGAAACCTTTAGATGGCTGCAGCTGTCTGGAAAACTTCTCAGGATTCTTAAAATTTCAACATGTTTCAAAACTCTCACAATTTGAAGGAAATATAGGTGTCAAAACGTGCAACAATGCAGATCAGGAGGCAGCAATCATGTGGGATTGTCTAGCTTCATAAAACACGGTTAAATATTTTAGAAGGAAAAAATCCTCTAACCTTCACTGTCCTCAAAAGAAAAAAAAAAAAAGAATAGAGTCTTGCTTCAGCTTCTTTAGACAAATATTAACTATTTCTTCAGAAGCCAAGCATGGAGATTGTTAGCCCAACAACTGTTTTAAAAGTTTGCCCAACATCTCTCTGATGGCAGTGTGTGATGGTGGAAGCTGATTCTCAACTTTGTGTTAATTGATACTTCCAGGCACCTTTTAAATCTTTCTATAAATGGATTACAAAGTATCTTCCTTCATTTGATCTTTCAAACCTTATTAACTATAAAAAACCATATACAACATGATGACATTGTACAACAAAGGATATTGTGGTGTCATTATTCATATTCTCCCTGAGATAGAAAAGCTTCCAATTTTGCTCAGTGCAATGTTCTGAAGGCTATGCAATTTTAAAAAATAGTATATTGACATGTTATGATAATTACAATTTACTAATTTTTTTAAGTTATTATTAAAAAATGAAATTAGCATTGGAGCCTCCTGATGGCAACAACTGCAAGTAAAAAAAAGGGAGGGAATCATCAGTGACAGGGACTGCAAGGCCAGTGGCTGGGTCAGAGATCCAGGGTGAGACTGGGACAGCACAGCAGGGGAAGGGGGACAGGCAGGAGCACCAAAGGTGTAGGTGAGGTGAGAGGGGAAGGGAGGGATGTAAAGCAGATGTCACTGTGGAACACTGTTCTTTACACACATTCATCCCAAATCATAGATACATGGTATTTCAAAATGGTCTGCACATATAAATGCAATGCCAAAGATTACCCAAACATCAGTCTAAACCCCTGTGGCTCCTACCTGACACTTGTGAGGTCTCTCTGAGGTATGCACCTGTTTGATGTGTCCATTCAAGTGGTCTGGCCTTAAAGGAAAACACACATAAGCACACTTAAAACAAATACTAAAGTTACAATTTTAACATAAAAAAAAAAAAAAGAAAATAAAAGAAAAAAATATCCCAGTGCTGTATCTATTATGACAATTGTAGTGATACTTAACTTTCCAAGAACCAGACTGTCAACAACTGGGACTCTACCTGGTTATGTACCCTCTGCAACTTGCTAAAAAGCAGCATTTTCTCAGGAAGAAATCAGGACTGAATGATCAGAAGAAATAGGAAATACAAGTTATGATTTGCAAGCCTGCATGTTCCCATCCAAAATCCTATTTAGAATATTTAGAACTTAATAATCAGGGCACTTTGATTTACAGTTGCTGAATATTTGAAAATCACACCCTTTTGGTTTATGTCCTAAACACAGATGTAAAAAGCCAACTTTCAGCACCTCTTGCAAAAAGACTGTCTAAACTCTGCTGCTGTGACACATTTTCCACCTGCAAGATGAAAAAATGCTCTTAACTTACAACTTGGTAGGGAGACTGCATTAATACAAATAAAGTGCTCTGAATATTCCAACTAGAAGTTGCAATGGAAGAGCAAATCATTACTGTAGAAAGTTAGAGCATTCTTCACAACCAGCAGAGCCTACTTGGAACCAGAAAGGACTGAAGAGCTGCAGATTGTCCTGGTGGGAGTTTCTCCTAGTGGGAAGAAAGCTTTTCATTGTATGAGAGCAAAACTGCTTGGAAACAAGTTCTCCAGCCTCTCCTCCCCCAACCTCCCGGCGGCACCAATGAGAGGGCGCGGGCTGGAATTCACGCCCT